TAAACATTTTATTTTATTTTTGTTGATAACCTTTCTTTGTAGACATGGTTTTTGATATATTCGTATTTTTGTCCGGATTTAATTTAATTTTCGTTTTTTTAACAATTAAATTAAATTTTCTTATGAATTTTAACCGTAATATTTATTTTATTGTGCGAGTAACTTAAGTACTCGCGTGTATTTTATCCCTATTCCTTAATCTAGACACGAGCTACGATATGTTTTACATATCAACCATTTACAACTTCAATTATCATAGTTGTGGTTAATAAACCACGAGGTGTTATAATCATTTATACATATAACAACGTATTAAATTAAATTAGATTCCACCAATGGTCCAATGGTCCAATGGCGACCTTTACTATCATAGCTAGTCGTTATGCAAGTGGTAACCACGTTGTTGTTGCAGGCCGACAATATTTAAGGTACACCTATATTTAAAAAATACTGTCCTTTTACTAGTAGCACATCTATATACAAGGTGTTCCATAATATCTGAACCTTTTGTATATTAAAAATACTGGTTTTATATGTATATAAAATTCTGTATTTAATAAAATGTAGGTTTTATACCAATAATGTATTCTGAATAATAATTTGTATTTAAGATACACTTCTTTTATTACTTACTCAAAAAGCCGCCGAAATTGTACAAAAAATGTTATTTTGGTGTAAAAATCAACGTTTTTATGTGTTGTTATATTTTTATTAACTTGTCAATTTTTTAAGTCAAACTGTGTAGTCCTATAGAAGGTAACTACCCCATTTAACCCCCTTTTAGAAAAAAAAAATGTTCAAAATAATCGTACAGTTCTATTTGAGTTCAGGGTTGCAAGTATTAATTTGGCTCTCAGTTCAAATACTATTCACTTTATTGTATATGTTTATTAAATACACTTAATAATATCATAATGAAAAAATCGTTATGACGGTTATAACCGTTCAAATGATTCTATTCAGTTGTACTGTTATTAGACAAATTATTCCTTAATTCATAAATTAATAAAAAAACTTAAAAATAATAAAGACTTAAGATGTTTTTATTGATGTTTTAGCGCGAACTTAACAAACGAGTTGTTGGTGGAATAAACAGACACATCAGTTACGACTGAACAACAGTTGTAGTTTGCATGAATTTTATTTGATGTTTAATTTTTACTGTGACATTTTCGCAAATAATCAACATTTAGTTTACACTTATTGTAAATCATTTTTCGAGTTATTTGCCATTTTGACAGTGACAAGAGAACTGTCAAGACTGTCGTTTTTCATTGATCACTCCGACATTTACTTTTAACTAAAAAGTTCCATAAAATGTAAGTACATTTAATATAATTTAAAAAGTGAATTAATAAATAGCTATTTTAATTAATTTTAATAATAGCTTATATTACTATTTTTAATGATGAACACACATTTTATTAAAACGCTGCGTCCATTTAAAAAATGATTAGGAATTACATTAATTGTAGTTTTCAACAAAATACATGTGGTAAATTTATTTACTAAATGTGCCCCATTTTGTATTATGATTAATTAATCATAATATATAATTAGTTATTTTAATAAAGTACTATAGTAAGTTAATGTAGCTATTAATAAAATGTTTTAAAAATAAACAGTAATAAGGAACATTTTAAGATATTCCAGTAACATAAAATTTAGACAATTTTTTGTATTTAAATCATCATTATCTCTTTAGCCTCTATCCTCACTAATTGGATATTTCTTTATCTTGTTTTAAATTGTTTTATTTATTGGTATTTATTTATATAATTTACTTCTGTATTTTAATATTTAAAATTATGCATTTTATTATATATGTTTCAACATTTTTTACATTGAATTATCATCTCTTGAGAAATTGTTGATTTTTAAGTGAAAATCTCTTAATTGTACGATTTAATAATTTAGATTTATCAAACATTTAAAGTAAATAGAGGATTGTATTGATTTGAATGAGAATTATATTTCAATATTTCAAATTTTAAATAAATGAAAAATATTAAGTTTAATGATTTTCATCGGTTAACAGTTAACAGGGTTTTATATTAAACACGATTGTCATCAGGCTTATTTGTGTAATTATTTGTAGCCTTTTTGCTGCCAAATCAATAAGACTTTTTTACATATCAACCAACAAAGGGCACATTTAAATCTACGAGTGACAAATTTACACGTAACCTAAGTAATTTTAAAATAACTAATACCAAATAAATAAAAATATTGGCACAAGTTTCCCTTAAACAAAATCGAAATCTATATAATTATCTAAAATACCTAATATCCCAGAAAATAATTATTTTAAAAACTTAAAAAATAACAAAAATAAAGCCTTCATATCATTCTTATAATTATCATTCTAATTTACTACACTATATCAAATAGTTACAATAAATATCATGTTTTTATTTAATTTCTAATATTTAAAATGGCTGTTTCATAAGTAAAATAAATATTTTATAATGCATAGCCATGTACTCGATCAAGCATTTTAATACTGTAACACTAAAAGGTACATTTCTATATATTTTATTATAATTTATTAAATGATGTTTAAGTGTTGGTGCTAAAGCGTAAAGTGATATAGCTCAAAAACATTTTTTAATAATTTTACTATATATCNGTGCTAAAGCGTAAAGTGATATAGCTCAAAAACATTTTAGTTATTTGTGTAGTAATTAGCTGAAAAAGTATTGAATAACATCGATTTTAGTATAATATAAGCTTTACAATAGTAGTAAGCAATTTTTGAACTCTTAAGCAATATAATAATTCCATATAAAAAGGAAATGCAGGGTAAGCAAATTAATAATGGTGGAATAAAGAATATAAAAGGAAAACATGAAAAGTATAGGGGACTGGGCTAGACGAGACTGGACGTTTTGACGAAGAATCGTCGAGCTACGGGTTAGGTCGTTGGTGTGCGAGTAACTTTGTATTTTTGTAAGATTTAATTAATTTTTTGTTAAATTTTTATATTATATTTGACTTTGTGTTTTTACTATAAATAAATAAAATAATTATTTAAAAATCTGTACTTGAGAGTAAATACTTTATATCGTCGTGATATTAGAATTTGTGTGTGTGCGGCAAGAGTCGAGGTTGGACTACTGGTCCTATAGTCAATCTTAATAATTCGTGTATGTGCTGGCTAGTTTTTGGGCTTAGCCGTCCTTTAGTGGGTATAGTAAAAAGGTAGTTGTGCTGGTGGCTGACAAGGAGCCACCCTTCAGTCTGCTATTTTTAAGCTAGACTGTGCTGACGGGTCTAAACTCTACCCCTTTAGTAGTTCACTAATTTGAGGGATTGGGGCTGATCAGTTTATCCAACGGGAGGACTTGAGAAGAGCTCGAACGACGAACTCGTCGTCAATATATATATATATATATAAACATTAATTAATTTGTGTAAAACTTTTGTGTCTACGTTGGGGCACTACCAATGTACGACATATGATAAAATACTTCATTGATTTCTGAGTTTAATCGGTAGTGCTAATAGTCATTTATTATTTACACAAAAATGTTTGAACTCGCTATATTTGCTCTATGCCTCTAACTTAATAAGATAAAACATTATACTCTTTTGTATTAAAATATTTTTATCTAACCCTATAAACACGATAATAATAGCCATTTAATTTTTATGTGTAATTTTCAAGCCACTATTCAGACGTCTCGCTCGTTCTAAAAGATTCAAAATAATGATAAATACGGTGGATATATAATATATATATATGTGTGTGTATGTGTAAAGTTGTTAGTAAGGATATGGATTTCTATGGTTATCATTATTTTTACCAATTGACCTATTTTCTTATTTTTTGAACACTCTGTATATTACTTATATATAGTTAATGGGAAGGTGCCTGAATCCGCTCCTGTTGCTTTTATTTGTTATTATTTTTTCTTATGGTTTTGAGTTTCATTATAAATAGCAGTGTTTAACACAAAACAGTAAAATAGTTAGAGTTTTGTTTTTAGTGGATCATATATAAAAAAAATTTTATTATCCCCCCCTAAACACAAAAAATGTTTACCTTTAACGTGTAATCATTTTTCTCAGAAGGATCATTCCCTATCATTATTGAAAGTACCCTAAGTTTTTAGCTGTTTGTAATGATCGAAAATTCACTGAAATTTAATATTATTTTACACAAATGATTTATTACGATAAAATTGTTTTTATATGTAGATAGTCGTTTTTTATTAATTATTAATAATCTCAGAAATTAGAGGTGATGGAAATTACAGATTTGAAATCAACGCAAAATTTTTTTTTATAAAAAGTATATTTTAATCGCTGTTAAAAATTCCATGTAGAACAGTTTAGACCATATTTTTAAAACAATTTTTTTGTAAAGTAGTGCATTTCGCCTTCCAATTCTCGGGGATTTAACGAGATTTTTCTCGTGATTTTTTTATTGGTGGTGTTTGATATCTTGTGCACGCTGCCATAATACTCGTCCATTATTGAATTAGTCATGAACCATCTTTGATTCTTTAACATGTAAAAAAGGGTCACCACCCTCTGTAGTTTATTGAGTTCAGAAATTAGAAGGATGAAAAACTGACCACTCTATTTTTATGTAAGTAACTAATTAACATAGTATAATAAAATTACCATTGTGTTTATAACTTACAGAAATGAATAGGTAGTATCATTAGAGCCATTTTCTTTTTAATTCTTTAAATAAACAATAAACACATCAATATAATATATTTATATTTATTATTTAGTCTGTACTTTAATTCATATTCATATTTTCGTCTAATACCAGTGAAACTAAAGATCTAATAAGCTTATATATAGAGCCAATTGTAACATTTACATAATTATTAAACGCGCTCTGTTGATAAAAATGCGTACTTTAGATATTTTGAAAATTATATTTTAAGGTATATTAATTTAAGTTATCAATAATATATTTATAAATTCAGTTTCTAAATTGAACATATTTTTAAATATCTACTTCCAAAAGATTTCTTCTTCTTAACTTTGTGCTTGTTAATAAACCCAATAAATGTTATGTATTTATACTATATTATCATTGTTAGTGTTTATCACTTTGGGCGTGTTTACCAAACGAGATCACAATTAAGAAACATAAATGTAAACATTCCTCATTCGGGTGTTCTTTTTTGTTTTTTTAACTTTTAACTTTAAATTTTTTTTATTAGATTAAAAAATTTAATTTGATTTTCATTAGTAAATAACGGCTGCCATGAGCTATACTTTTAATTTTATAATACTTTGAACAAAAAAATTTTTTATTTAGTTAATTAATCAATTATTTTTCTTAATTTTATATACAATAAAAAAAATGTATGCTCGAAGCAAAACGCCCAGTATGGGCACTCCATCAGTTTATTCTATTCATGCCAGTCATCTAACTTTAAGATCATCAAATTTGCGTTCTACTCGGTCAATGAAATCATTACGCATCCCATGGTACCAACGTCCTATACTCAAAGATGCTATATTTCTTGATACTCAACGTGGTGCACTTGTCATTGCATTTTATTCATTGGTATATTTTATAATAAAAATACAATAAATGTTGAAGAATTAGTCTAATTTTTTTTATATATTTTTTTTTGTTTAGTTTTTAAGCATATTTACTCTTGCAACTTCTGCATTTGACACATATTGCTTAGCAATGGCAGCTCCAGGTTCAACTCATTATGGTTACTATCTAATGAGCTACCAATTTGTATATGTGGGTAGTGCATGGGGTATGAATCTTGTTTTAACTAAAATACTTTTCAGATCAATAATATATCGGTATTTTATGTTTCAGTTAGAAATTTGCTAGTATTGTTCTCATTATTTTCATTTGTTGCAGCAGCAGTAATTTTTGTTACTAGCATTATATTAATATCAGCTTTACGAAAAGTATAAGATATTTGTTATTATAATAATTAAATGTTTCTAAGATTATCATTATTAATTTTTAGGAACATGAAAAACGAATTGTACCATGGTTATTTACATTTGCAGTATTTGTTATATTACGTTTTGTTGCTTGGACGTTTTCATCCATTGCTAATGATCCAATTTTTGGTTATAATATTACTATGATATTTTTGGGTGCAATATTTATAGTTCTTAATGTTTATGGTTGGTTACTCGTTTATTCTTTATACTTAGAACTCTTTGACTTAACCAAACTAGAAGATTTAGCTCATTTAAGAGTAAGTTTCTCAGCTTCTTGCTGTCTTATTTATTATTTAAATTGCCATTTAAAATGTTTGCTAAAAAATTACTGAGTAAGTTTTTTAATATCTAAACAATAAAAATTTAATTTAAAATAGTTTGAATGATAAATTTCTTTTACATAATTAAAATAAACATCTCTACTAATTATAATTACTAGTGATATTATACATTCTGATTTTTTGAATCGTATCATAACAAAGCTTTAAACTTTTAAATTTTCGATTAAACCCAAATATAACCAAACAATCCAAATATTTAATCAAAGTCAAAGTAAACATCAATTTCAAACATTTTTTATATAAATATTCAACAAGTGTGTCTTAATATTTAATTATACTAGTTTGGTTTTTGAATATTCTAATAATTATTATTAATTTCAAATACTCAAAGTAATATTATTTTATTTGTTAATATTTTCAAAGTATATTTTAACAAAATTTAAATTTTTTTGATATTAGTATTATACTGGTTTTACAAAAAATGAAAATAAAAGGCAGGTAGTAATGACCAGCTGATATTATATTTGTATAGTATGAAACATAATATTGGTATAATAAAATGATTACAGTAATTATTTTAGTACAAGTTTTTAACATAATGTTACAGAATATCAGATCTATTTGGACTTGATCACTGATTAGGTAGACTCAACATAATTTGGATTACTAGTGTATAATAAATATATTATAAATTATTCAATAATATTTTTATATTTAAACTGAGAGTTTTTTAATACAATCGATTAAATTAGACACATTTATGCAAAAACCTAAGTACAATATTTCTGCAATAAAAATTGTATGAAAATATCACATATTTTGTTGTATTTACTAATATCAGTATTTATTTAAATAAATATTCTAAAAAAAATACTTATAATAAAAATGTATAAATAATATACAAGTATTAACATACAGTTTTATTCGATTTATATTATTACTTCTATTATTTTTTCAGATCGGTACTATGGCATCTCTAAATGCATCTACAACACATTCACTGGCTGGATCTCGACCAACTACTCCACACAGTACTGTATCTACTGCTCCAGTATAAGGACAATTATGTACAATTTTTTTTACTATTATTAAAAATTTATTTTAGTTTTAAGACTTAATAAGAGTTTTGACACAATGTAACTAATCCGTCCATTACATGTTCAATTTATATAACTTATTTTAATTTTAAATTATTTCATTTTATTACATATTTTAATTGCAATGTATTGATTATCTTTTCATTAGTTATTTTTAATGATGAAATATATAAAAAAAATGTTTCAATTTGTATCCTAAAGTTATACTTATGAGTACTAAAATATTGACTATTAAAAACAAAAAAATAATTGTTTATTTAAGTCATATTTTTTATTGAAACTGAATAAACGTGTGTAACAATTTAAAAGTTGTTCCCACTTCCTAAAATTATCCTTATTTTAAGTATAAACATTTTTTGAGCTATTATTTTTTTAGTAATTAAAGTGATTTCTTAACCAAAATTATTATTTTTTAATAAATTACTAGTATACACGAAAATTATTTAGTTTAATACTACCATATTTTTGTACTATTTTGTTTATTTATTGTAAAATGATAAATTATAGATTTATAAAAAATAAAATCGATCTTTACTTTAATGTTATGAACTATTTATATGTAAACAAATAAATCAAATATTTTAACAATATTTTGAACGTTTTGAAATTCTTTACTTCAAAGGAAAATATTTTAGTATAGTATGATGCAATTTTTTTATTTTACAAAATTCTTTTTAATGAAATTTGGACACTATTGTCAATATCATGTTTCTGATTACTAAACCAATTTTTAATGGATACTGTGAGTTTCTAAACAACTCTCCTAGGAGAAAGAAAAAGATTCTGACATATTCACACAATCGGTCATGCCAAAATATAATGTGTCAAAAGTTGTTATCGATCATGTTGTTTTCTTATTTAAATTATTTTTTATTTATAAGCTTATTAAAAATGAATTGATATATCAAAAAATATGTAAAATTAAAAATTACTAATAAGAATTTTCTTAACATAATTATCATTTTAATATTTCTAATGAATGGCTAATATTAAAAACATCATTCTGTATAAGTTGTTACATTTACTTTTTTAAAACCATAAATGTATAAGTTAATATATAAATCTATGTTTGTGAAATAAACTAGTAACACAGAATATTTATAAATATGGTATGATGGAGGGAAAAAGCAATTGTTTCCAATTTATTGATAATTACAAGTCAGGGCATTATCAAAAACGTAATCTAGAATGATAGTAAACAGATAATATTTTCACATTCAGTATTACATAATTGAATTTATTATTATTGAATTTGAAATTAAATACATAATTATATTTAAGTGCAGCTTTTAAATACCATATTTCAAAATGTCAGCAGAAGATGTTTTATTTGATATGTTACATGCCGAAATAGTTTCATATATGGTTTCCAAAGATTCCAAAACAGAAGTAATTTTATAATTGTTTTTTATTTCTAGCATCAGCATTGCGGAAAACTGAAATACAAAAGTCAATATTAAATGAAAGGAGTCCTCTCATTTCTAAATAAAATTTTTTTTGTGTAAATTAATAATTTTTTTTATATTAATTTTATGTTTTAAAAATTTCATCATTTAGTCTGGTATCTCTTCAATTTAAACATATTCAAAAGCCATAAATATGGTAACTGATAAATGCAGCTATATTTAAAATCTTAGTTAATTTATTTTTACTATATCAGTAAATCATCATCACAAAAACTAGGACTATATATCATATTAAAGTTTCCATAAAAGACACATGTCTAAAAAAACATTTTTTTGTAATTTTGCTTTTCCTTATCTAAATTAGCTAATTTGTTAAGAAAAAGTAGAACAAAATAGTTTTTTTGGATATATATATTTATATATCCTTTTGCAACTTAACAACTCATATAAGATTATTATTTAAATATGATGAATATTTATTTATTATAATATTTTTTTGAAAATGAAAAACAGCTATATATTATTTGAAAAATCACTTCTATGATCTTTAGTCTTAAGATTATGTCAAAAACTGAGTAGATCAGATTTTCCAAGACTTCTAGTGTTACTTGTACATTGCCAATTATTTTTATTTATTTATTTTAATGTTTGATATATTTTAAGGATGAAGATTTATCTATGTTAGAACATTTAGGTTATTCATGTGGGTGGCGTCTTATAGAGAGGTATTATTTTATTTTTACCTTAATCAAATATTCATTTAATACATGTTATTATAACAGTTATATTATCATTGTTACAGAATAACTAAAGAATTACCAAGATATAAAGAAGAACTTGAAATATTAAAATTTATCTGCACTGATTTTTGGTCTTGTGTATATAAAAAACAAGTGGATAATTTAAGGACTAATCACCAAGGAGTTTATGTTTTACAAGATAATGAATTTAGATTTCTAAACAAACTTTCAAATGGAACTCAGTATTTAAAAGAAGCCCCCAAGGTTGTTCATTTTTTTTTAGTTTAAATTATAGTGTTAAAACAATGAAATGAATTTTATAGTATGCTACATTTACAAGCGGCTTAATTAGAGGAGCTTTGGAGAATTTTGGAATTGCTAGTATAGTTACTGTAGAAATCAACAGAATGCCTTCCTGTAAATTTCATGTTCACGTACAACAATCTTCTTAAATTATTTTAATTACATTTGTATATTATTAACCAAATTTTAAAAAACAAATTATAGTATGCATTCCAAATGTAAATATTGAAAAAATATGTTTATTATTTATTATTAATTAAAATGTTTTGTAATTTACTAAAATGAACTTTTAAACAAAGTTAATACTCTACTAAAAACGAAGGATTGAATAATGTTTGAAGTACATTAATTATTAACCCTTAAAGTTTATAATCATTGCATTACGCTCAAATGCTCTAAATTATCAAGTATGAAAATAATTTGAAAATAAAAAAATGTTTTTATAAATAAATTATTTAGATTTATTGATTATTTATGAAAATATTAGGTTCAATAATTAGCAAAAAAAAAAAATTTAAAAAACTTGACTTCTTTAAACCTATATCAAATTAAATGTAATATAATATATTTTAAAGAAAATAATAAAAATATCTGAAAATTATTAATATGAATTATTGAACATTTAAGTGGAAATTAATAATATCTTTTATAAAAATATACCTATATTATTTAAAAATATAACATGTCAAAGAACTTTCAATTTGTATTCAAAGATTATTATGATTTTGATCAATTTTAGTATAGTTCAGTTATATCACAGATAGATATCAGTCTAAATGCACTTTTAAATTCAGAAGTAGTTATTATTTATATACCGCCAAGTTTAATATAAAATAATTTAAATTGTTTGTAATTTACAAAATCAAAAATGAACACGAAACTATAACATTGAATTTTGCTTAAATCGTAAACAAATTAACAGTATATTTAATAAAATACTGCAATTCAACCCCTCAGTAAATTATCTTTGTGGGTTAAAAAATTATTAAAGATAAATAATTTTTTTTTAATTAAGTAAACATAATCAATATCATCTCTGTACAGAGTATCACACCTAGTTTTATCACCTTTAATAACTTTTAATACAGCAAATATTTTGCATTTAATTTTATTTTTAACAATTTCAAAGTTTTAAACTATATTAAAGGCATATTTCTCTTTATAAAAAAATTAAATTAATTTTTTATCTTTTCGAAATTATAAAATAAACATTTAAATAAAATTTAGATGAGTCAATAAAAATTTTATGGTAATTATTTAATGGGTTCAAAACATTTGAATACATAGTGTGAGTAGAGTAATATAAATATACAGTACGAGCTGTACCTACTTGGGTACTTACCCACTGTATATATTAAAAAGTTTGTAAACACTTATTATAAAATTATGTTCAATCCATCAAAATTTTTTGTAAGGGCTAAAAGTTGTTTTTCTTAATATTTCAAAAATATACAAAATATGATTTTAACAGTCTAAAACTGAAATTATTTAAAAAAAAGTAACTCAATATTCAATGGACTAAAATTATTAAAGATGTGAGGATATATTAGGACACTGTATAATTGTAATAACAATAGTATAAAACAAATATTTTTGTAAGTAATTTAAATTACTTAAAACTGAAAAATAGCCTCATTTTATGGTGTTTTCATATGTATTTATATAGAAGAATACCAACATACTAGTTTTTTTATCATAAATATGTTGTTTATTTTTCTACAAAATGTTTTTATATAAACCCAAGTATTTCTTTTTATGGTACTGAACTATAATAATCGAATACTCATTATAGGTGATACAGAAAAATGTAATTGTAAATTTTCTCATTATACAGTACTATTTTTCATATCTATCTTTAAAATTATGCAATTTTTTTACTTACATTTTATAAATTCCTATAAATCTTCTTGTTATATACAATAAGTTATATTAAATATATAAAACTAATAGTAAAACTATTCCATTTTTGAAAAAAATAAATAAATTATTTTAAATCATTATATGTTTTAAAATATTTATACAATGTGCAACACAATTAAAAATGATAGTTTATAATTGTAATGCATTCTTACTTAGAGGTAAAATAATTACTTTAAAAGTATTGTGATAAAAATAAAAGTAATTTCAAAAATGTGTAATAAGAAAACTTTTATAATATAGGTATGGTATATTGACTAAAAAGAAACCTATATATACAAAAAATTTGTATGTGTATATAATTTTAAAAAAAGCAGTATGGTAGTTGAGACAATTTTAATAAAACATAATTTAAGTAATATAAAATATAAACACACAAAATAATTTAAATTATAAAAGTTGCTACAATTAAAATGAAAAAGAATTAAATTTATTCTTAGAACCTTAGGTAAATTTTCGGTATCTGTATAATTTAGGTGGTGCTGAAGCAGTTATATCATTAAATGGAAGAGGAGGTGTATTTTCTTCACCTAAATTGACACCTTTTTTAACTCTTTCTTCTTCCATGTTACGCCAAAGTTTACGCCTCATATCAGATTTCGGTGTTTCAGACAAACGATTATTGATACAACCTAAAGCTTTTCTCAATGTTTTGGATTTATCTTTAACATCTGGAGTAATTAATCCGCTTAACATAGATTCATTATCATTTTCACAAACTGCAGAATGAAATGAATCATCAGTATCCATACAATCATATACAATAGTTGGTGTAGATGATACTGGCTCACACAATGGTAGTTCAACAAATGAATCATTAATAATCCGTGAAATATTTTCTTCATTTATAATATTTCTAATCTTAAAATTGTAAAATCTTATAAGAAATTAACTAAAAAACAAAATTCAATTAAAATGACTTACTCGTAATGGAGTTCTAGAAAAATCTACAGTTGGTGATCGTGGATCTGGTATTTCAATATAATGGTTCGACATTGTCGCAATAAATGATATTTTTAAATTAAGTGATAAACTTTAAATTACTCTTTTAAACTAATTTTTATAACCGTTAAATATCACACTGGTTTGTTATTTATATAATGCTTTAAACTAATTTAATTGAAAGAATGAACGATTATAAAATAATTTATTGGAAAAACAATATTAATAAATTAGTATTTTTTTAAATTGTACAGACCATATCGAATAATTATGATTATGAATAGATTGTACAGATGTATTGAAAGCCGTTAAAAATACATACAAAAAATTATTTTGAAATGGAAAATAACATGTTTGCTATAACAGTGCAGTTAATGGTTTGTCAATAAAATTCTTTTTAGTTTTCTTATCAGTGTAGCCATACAAAATAATATTACAGAATGAACACTGATAAAAATTTACATACTCAATATAAGGTGATTTAACCAGTTAGATATTTTTATGTAGACAAATCAGCGTAATCATGTCGTTAAATTAAATCTGTGTTATTTATACAAAAATTTAATAATAATTAAAATAATTATTTTTTGACAAATTATGCTATGTTCTCTATTACACACTCCAACATTCTATTATTCGCCATGATGCAAACATTTTCAAGTCGATAACTTCTTCAGATAGATGTTAACTTCCTACAAAGTGATTTGTCAATATTTAACAAAGTGCATATCACATGGTCTCATTAAATATCGACAAATATCAATTTGAAACCTACATTATCACATCAGTTTTAATTTAAAAAAGAAATTACTCTGATTTTCATGACTCACATTCTTTCAAATGTCTACATACCTCACTAATTAGTTCTTTACTTGAATATGCTTCATTAATTTGTGATCAAAATCATGCAGGAAATAACGATCAACTTGTAAAAGTACAAAATAAAGTCCTGATATATGACATAATTGTAATATTCATAGAACTCCTCACACTGGTTATGAGAATATCTTAAAAATGTTAAATTTAAAAACATAAATACGTAGAAATACACTATACAACTCCTTACTCACTGAATTACTAAATAATAGGGTTTGTCAACGATATATTTTTGGATATCAATATGTATCTAATTTCAGCAATATCAAAAAAATAAAATGGATTCCGATATCGAGATGTAAAAAAAAAAAAATTGATATAGAAAAAAAAATTATATTCAAAAATTAAATTTAAATGTTTTCACTATTTTTTTTTTTTATTTGCAAATAAGTTACAAATTGTTGTAAAAATCAGACTGTAGTATATCAACCATATCAGATAATGATATTAATATCAAAAATATATATATAATAGTTATATCTCATAACGATAAACAAATATTTTCAATAAAACTATAAGATCTAGACTACCTAAAATATATACAGAAAAGAAAAGACCACAACTGACAACTCATATAACTTATGATCTACATTACATTTTATACTTCTTTTTTGATCAATTTTTACAATATAGAACTATATTTAAAATATGTTTTATGTTATTTTTTGCAGATTTGTGATCTTTTGACGTATCGTTTAAAGGAATCGGTTCGATGAGAGCTGAGAAAAATTGGTAACAGTTACAAAAAAAAAATAAACACATCATAGTAAAATTAATATTTTCCCAGCTTCATATCAAAGCTAAAAATAAGATTTTTTTTAAAAAAATATTTTTTATATTTTTAATTTTATAATGCTATAACATTTTGAAATATATATACAATTTTTTGATGATAAATACTATTTATATACCTCTTTTATTCGATGCAAAGCTGAGAAGGTATTAATTTTACTATAATGTGTTTTTTTACTTTTTTTATTTTATTTTTTGTGTCTGAACACTCAAACTTAGCTTTCGATAGACTGATTTTGAATAACAATACTTCTAAAGATCACAAATCGTATCTAGTTAAAGATATTACCCTCAAAAATTGAAAAAAACCTAATTTATCAATTAAACAGTTACTTATCCCATGTTCTCCATACAAACAATTAAAATTATTTATTTCTAATGTTTTCAGAGTATTTATTGACGAATCGAGTTTGATATGATAGGTTTCAATTACAAAATTAAATCATTTTACTTTGAAATTTAATAATTTTTTGAGTATTTGTGTGTGCTACTAATAGACTATAATATTTCAAATTTTTTGGGAACATGTTGCTATATAAATCATTTTTAAAAAAAAAGGATTGTTAGTTTCTCCTGAGATAACAATGGATTTTTAGATCTTTTTAACCACTTTTTTTTATTGGTTTATTTAGTTAAAATAAATCATTAAAATTAATTCAGTTCATATTTCAATTGTACAATATTTTTAAATACCAAAAGTTACTAGGAAATGATTACTGTTATTTCTATTTAACTTATCTATTACGATAAAAATACAAAAAAATATTGAGCTTTTCTGATAATTTACTATAAATAGTAATTATACAATTTTCTGTATTTCTGTCTTAATGTCAATTTCAAAATTGTAAATTGAGCTAAAAGTTATGGTAATAAATAATTTTTTTTTTACTATAAATATTCACAAAAATCAACTTAAAAGGACTTAAAAGATAAGTTAAATATGTCATTTTCTTTATTTTTAACGTATTAATAATCAAACTCAGTATTAATTTAAAACAATTCTTTTTTTGTTCTTAATTATTTTTTTATATGAAAATACTTATTTTTTAATAATAACTAATAATATTAAAACTTAGAAGTGATAGAAAAAGTCTAATTGCACATTTGAAAATATCGCAAAAAACATTTTTTAAATAAACATTTTTTATTGAAAAGTATTGCATCAAGCTCTTTAAATTTTTATACGCTTTAAAAGTAAGGAAATATACAAATACTTTATTATTTTTATAATATCTTCGTAAAAATTATAATTTTAAATATTTAATATTAATATCATACTAAATTTAATTAATTTAATTATTATTTATTCATATATTATAATTATAAATCAAATTACTGGTCAGGATAAAAATAAGGGAGTAAGAGTTATTGTTGCTTTTGAAATAAACTACCAATTTCTTAAAATTAAACACTATTTACATATTTGCATCGAAGTGTTTCTTATGATAGTGATTTTTATCACTGTCAGATATCATCTATACTTGTCCCAAATATGCCACGTCCATACTGTGCAGCTACCCCACTGTGCTATCGTTTTTTTATTTATATTTGTTAAAATATCACTATCGTAAGAAACGATAGTGATTTTTATCACTGTCAGATATCATTATACTTCACCCAACTATGGGGTGAAGTATAATGATATCTGACATGGGTTTTAAATATAGTATTATATTGTAAAAATTGACTAAAAACAAAAAAGTATAAAATGTACAGTCTTATAGAACTTTCCATCCTATCTCATTGGAATTTTTTTATTGCATAACATATTAGACGCTCTATCTTCACCATCTTGCACAACTGATCCTAAACAACTAAATACTTAAAACTTTCCAACACTCCTACAACGTCCTCGCTTATTATCACTGATGTCCTCATTTCACCTAACTCGGTTCTCCTTCGTCAAACTCGCACTCTATAACTCTGTCTTAATTCTACTCAATATTAATCATTTTTCTTCAAGAGAGGCTTATCTCTTCACTTCTAGCGTTTCATTAATTTCCTTCTTACTCTATCCTATTAAAACAATATCGTCAGCAAAAAACATTCGCTACGGTACCTCTCCTTGTGTTTCTCCAGTAATTTCATCTGTTACTATAGAAAATAAATAAAGGCTTAAAGAAGAACCTTGGTACACTTTTACTCTTACCCTAAAATTTTCTGTTACTCTGTCCACACTTTTTACCTTAGTACAAGTGCCTTCATACAAATCCTCTATTATATTAATATACTTTTTCGAGACGCTTTTTCTCATTAATAGCCACTTTAAAACCTTTCTTGGTACTCTATCATACGTTTTCTCCAAATCTATAAATACCATACACAGCTTTTTCTTTTTTCTCTATAATTTTTTATTATTATTATTTTATTATTTGCATATTTTTTTATCAAAGAGATTTATTTTCCATAAGATCGTTAAGAAAATTATGCATTAAATTTTATTAAAATTGTAAAAGACGACAAATTTTCGAAGAAAAACATAGTTTTTTATTCTTTTTCTTATACTTTTCTATTAGTTGTCTTACACAAAAAATTGTCTCCATCGTTAACTTTCTATGCAAAAAAACAAACTTTGTTACTGATATATTATCCCCTCTTATTCTTTTGTCTATTACTTTTTTACAAATCTTCATACATTGACTCTTAAGATTTATGACAATAATTTCCACATGCATATATATATATATCCTTTGCCTTTAAATATCGGTACCATAATACCATTCCTTCATTCTTTTGGTACTTTCTCTTCTAATAGAATTTTATTAAAAAGATCTTTCAGCCATGTTACGCCAGTATTACCTAATATTTTTCAAATTTCTATTGGCACTTTATCTAGTCCTACTGCTTTATTCTTTTTCATTGATGCCACAGGCTTCCATACCGCTTTCTCACTAATTAAATCTATCAATCCCTTGTTCCATGAAGTATTTTCTAATATTTCTCTTGGATACAGTAATTTATCAAAATACTCTTTCCACATCATCATCACTCGGTAGCACCTTCTTATCATCACTTTTTATACACCTTACTTATTATTGTGATAATTTTTAGAGTGTTTTTCTTTTACTATTGCAAGTCTATAGACTTCTTTTTTACCTTTGTTCCTAACTTATTATACTTCTTGAACTTCGCTTTTCATACCGCACACTTGACTTCTTTACACAAGCATTTATACTCCATCCAATCTTCTCTCCTTTTACTCTTCTACCACACTTTGAATTGCTGTTTTTTACTCTCTCTGATTTTTTGAACGTCCTCATCTAACCGACAGATTTTCTTGTTTCCTGGCTTTCTACTCTTACTCACAGCAACAATCTCATTTACAGTTTTCTTTACTCCAACCCAATCGTCTTTAAAAACTTTTTTCTTTTCCCATTTCAAATTCCATCTCCGGATCTTAGATTCTCCTCCAGTGTCCTTTCAGTTTTTATATAATCACTTCCAACTACACCACAACTCAATTACCATCAGTCTTTATTGTGTGGTACACTCTCATCTGGGATAATTTTATAATATTTTGCTCGCTTTACATTCTCTCTTCCATATGAACTAATCTATTACTCTTACTCTTATAAGTTATATGTTTTCCCCCTTTCTAAAATAAGTATTAACCACAGTAAGTTCATACGATTCTGCGAAATCTAGGATTCTTTCTCCAGGCTCATTCTTCCCACTATAACCATACCCCTAAGTACACTTTCATATTCTTTCCTCTCATTACCTACATGTCCATTTATATCTTCACCTATCATTGTATCCTTATTACCAGGTATTTCTTGCATCACCTCATCCATCTCTCTCTTCAAAATACTTTTTTGTATATTTTACAACATAGTAAGTGTTTATGCACCATAAGTAGGTGCAGAGGTGTCGTGGAGCGTATACGCGGGTATACGGTGTATACCCACTTCTTTGTTTTTCTGTTATTGCGTATACTTATAAAATCATGAGTGATACGCGGGTATACGGCGTATACCCACTGTTAGTTTTCTTATTAGTGCATATACGTATTTAGAAAATAGTTGAAGAGTATAGACTAAAGAATAAAATAAAAAGAAACTGGAGGCAGGTATAGCCGGCGCCAATAAAAAAAAACAATCTGTTTTAACGCACACAACTAAAAAAACCGCTACGGACGAAAATTAGCGTACCAGTTCCGACGATGGCTAATTCCAACAAAATGTCCGGCGTTTGACCCGGGAGTCCGTTGGCGACAACACGACTAGCCTTTAAAGTAGAGGTAAAAAAAAAACTAAATACCCAGTGCCGGAAATTAATAAGAACAATTTAAATCATAAGGCGACAATATATGCGGTGAGCAGTGCAAATAACGTTCAAGATAGGAAAAGAGCGGGGTGAATGTACACACAAATGCCGTCCATGAACCGGTCCGAAGTAGTACACAGCTGATTATCTCGCGCGCGCACAAACTGATAAATGCCGTCGCAATACGCATTCAGCTCAACACAAATATATATATATATATGTCTATACAAATAGACAAAAAAATAAATAGATACTTTTTGTCACGTTACAAATATAACAGTATCTAATAATACACATATCGATTATATTACTATGAAATTTAATTATTTAAGAACTTAGAAGTGTCAGTAAAAATATTCGAGTAATAGTTTGGAAATTGGAAGGAGCAAGGCCGTATCTGGGAGGGTTAGGAGTTTTAGTTGCATTATGTAATATTTAGAAAATACATATTTTTAACACAGTTAAAACATCACAATATTTTTATTCCGTCCCCCAAAACTATGTTATAGTTAAGGCCTTTGAAAAGTAGTGTGGGGGTGAAATACTCCACGTTTCCTCATATAGGTTTTTAACTTATCTATTGATCAAATTACGACTATATCACTGTTGATAATGTATAAAGTTAAAAGTTCAACAAAATAATTGTGAAATATTGTATGTAGAAAATATAAAGTGCAATGGGGGGTGTGGGGGCAGAGCCCCCCACGTTATTCTCTTTTCATAATATAGGTGTATACCCATAAAAATTTTTAGGACTACACCACTGAGTAGGTGCAAAGGCATTTACTACATTCGACACTTCTTTAATTAATTTTGCGACTATAATGCTATCACTTTTCCTAACTACTTCTACTACTTTTCTTTTCATCTCCTAATCCTTTATTATACCTACACCATTCTTTGTATTGGTTTTATCTAAGTACATTATTTTGTAACCCTCACCCATTTCCTTTACTTTCTCTCCTTCTTCTCTTTCAGTTTCCTACATACAATAAATATTAACTTTCTCCTCTTTAATACTTCTACTAATTCTCTACTTTTACCAGTTAATGTTTCAACATTCCACATAACTATTCTTAGGTACGTAGAATATTCTTGATTGTAACATATGCAGATTGAAATTTTTTAATAAGTTATTTGAAAAGAATTGAGGATGCATATAATTTTTGTTAGTCCAACACATAGAATTATACAGATAAAAATATATAAAACTATCATCATTTTTATTTATAAATAAACAAATTTAACAATTTATTTATTTCGGCATTTTTTCAATTATGAATAAAAAAACTGATAATATTTATTTTCATTATGAAAAAATTAACTAAAAACACAAAAGTTAAAATTAATGACTTAAATTTTTTTCATAAAGAGAACCTTATTTTCTTTATAATAACTTTTAATGAAGTTGCAAGTTAATACATAAAAATTAGCTATATAGTTAATATATAAATTAAATACGATTTGTTTTTCTAATTTTTTCTTGAATTTTTGGTGGGAAATGTGTAATATTTACTCGAGTACAAGAAGAACAAAAGTATTTTGAATAAAATAAACTACATTCTGGTTTAAGACATATATCTTTATCACAAATAGAACAAGCTGATCCTAAAATTAAATACTGTTTCTTAGTCCGAGGAGAAAATGGATCTCTTGCAATATATACATCAGCTTTAGTTTTTATATTACGATTGAATGGTACTTGATTACTAAAACAGTCATAATGCTCAGTTAAGCCACAAATACAACATTGGAATATTGGTCTTTCTTCTACTGTATTTAAACTAAAAATAAAAATAAATCCTTTAATTAAAATCTTCAAGTTAAAATATAAGTAAATGAGAAATGTTTTTTTTTTAAATTGTTACCAAAATGAAGCTAAACCAATAAAATTAACTACTTCATTAAAATTAAATATTAATTTTTAAATTATTGATTATCAAAAATTTTATGTTTGATAAAATTATTTGTAAATAAAAATGCAAAACATTTTTGATTAATTTTTATAGAATATTTATACATATTAATATCCTTTATTGTAGATTAAACTACATGATTAATATTATTATTATTATTATATAATTTTGACATTAACAAACTGTAAATGTAGGTTTATTACAGAATTTCTTTAAACCTACACTATTTGTTTACAGACATAGATACTGTTCCAATGATGGTTAATCAAGTTTCTAATTTATTGAAAAAATAAACATAATATATTCATTTTGAACATAAAATGTTATAATATGTTAAATTTTAAAGTTAGGTAAATACAAAACTCTAATATTAAAACACTTTACATGCATCATAATTTTATAACGGATAAAAATGTTATTTTGTTTTATTGAAAACACTAATAATTAAATATTATTAACAATATTTGTTGAATACTTTTGATCTTTCTTCATATCTATTTCATTGGAACAAATTTCAGTGTATTGACTTTTTCCATCATCTTTGTTTAAAAAATGCTCTTCTTTGAGAGACATAATGCTAGAACATCAATTTAATATTAAGATTCCATACTATGCTAGGAAATAATATTTAAATTCAAGTAAGAATACTAATGTTTCTTTCAACATTAAACCTACGGCCATTTAATAAAGTAAAAATACAAATAATTGATTAAAAATGTATATGTCATAGCCCGGAAAACAATATTTCTAAAATAACGAGTCGTTATTAAAGACTATATTTTATGTTTTTTAACATTATCTTATCTTATACGAAGTTATAATAACTTATCAGTTTCAAGCAATGGAATCCACATGAATACACTCTACGCTAGATAACATTCAATATTTTGTACAAACACAATATTATTTAAATATTTCCACTGAAATTTTTTGAATTTATTTAATGAATACTAAAAAAATTCCAATAAACTTAAGTGTAATAAGAACATATAAAAATTATAATATACTAGACTTCGGGTCAGACCTAGGGCATAAGAACCTTCGGCGCGTGAGACTCGTATTTTCAAGTAGATAACTGATTTGGGTAGTAGTACCAGTCTACGACAGCCATAAGTGTTTTACAGGAAAAATATTAAATCAGAATCAGTGTAACAAAAATATATTAAATATGTAATTATCAAAATCAAGATAACTAAAAAAAAAAAAAATAGAAAATTTATTAAGTACAATGTTGACGTTTTTTTATTGAGATATTCATCAAGATCGTTGTCAGAAATCGTTTTAATAGGACGCTTATTTTTTTTAAATTTGGTAGACATACTATAGAAAATTTTTAACATCACAAATTTAGACAAAATGAACTGGAAACTTTTACAAAAATTTAAGCGGTAAACTTTTTAATCATCAGTTTGCCCTTAAATCTGCGGGCTTCCACTTCTCTGGTTGAACAAGTTGGAGGTTTCGGCAGTTTCAAAATGAATAAGGCTAGAATCCTTGAGACGGGTTTAAATAGATAGACGATTATTAAAAGACAACTAAATTCAATAGTTTAGTTTTAAATTTTTTTTAAAAGTTCAAGAAATTATTTTAAAAGCTATCCATTCAATTTATATTCTCTATAGTCTAAAAATGTTTATTAGTTTATTAATTATTTTTATCGAAAATAAATAAATGATTTTTTTTAATTATGTACTTCTATTGTTAACAATTAAAATAAATAGGTTATAATGGTTTAAAGCAGCATCTAAAATAACGTGTTTCCTTTTTTTTTGTTAAATATATTTTTTGATATATTAGCTATTAATTATAATTTAAAATCATCCATTATAACTTATAGGCATGTAAATTTTATTTTTTTTAAATATCAACATACATATTTAATTAGCTTGTAAAATAGAAAATTCTGGTCGATGACAACTTTTGAATCATAAAATTTTTTTTTTTTGATATTAATACAAAAAATTTAAGTAAAAGTAATAATCTAATAAACGGTGATTTTAACACCAAAATAAAATTTTTTGTCTAACTTCGGGAAACGTTTACACACAGAAGACAAGTCGTCGGAACAAATTTTATTTTATAACTTGTAATATGTAACAATTATAATTTAACATTCTAGTATATCTTTTTAATTGTCGTAGTCTTTTTATTCATAGATATAATATATACATAAATAGTCAGCTTTTTTCTTTTTGGTTTAATTATGTTTTAAAAAGTAAAATGATTTAGAAATGACATAAATGACTTTCAAATCGTCAAAATGTAAAATAAAAGTTTATGTTTAATTTTTCGTTACATACATCGAATTTTGTACCCGGAAAGCATTGTCTAAGATATCTTTAAAACATGTAAAATTACTAATCATAAGCATAAATAGTGTATTTTGACTATTTTTTAAAATTTCAACACCCTCTGTATTAAGGGAAATGGTCCGATTAAAAAAAAGTACGTTTTGTAAATAGGATAATCATAAAGTATTTCCGAAAAAGAATTTTATTGATCCATATATTTTTTAAAAAGTTATAGCAATTAATTGTTGAATAAATAAAATACGAAATCGAAAATTTTAAATATATTTAAATACGGCAACCATTTGCACATAGAAAATAAGTCGTTGAGACAAAATAATTTTTTGAACAATCTTTATTTTAACATATGCTTAAAGCTCTGAGTATTTCCGGAACATGTTTAAAACTTAAGTTGAAAAAGTTAAATTTCTGTGCAAAAGTTGCTATATTGAATTCCCCTATGTACCAGGTAAAGGGTTAGATGCTCAACAATTTTATACCATATGAAAGAAATTTACCTAATTAAATTATGTAAAAAAAAATATTTTGTTTCGTTCATTTTTAAAAAAATTATGGAAATTTTATGAAAAAATAAGTCAAGATTTACAGATTTTCAATTTTCAAGAGCAATGTCTTCAACTAGATATAATTTGTAATTTGTTGACGTATCGTTGAACGAAATCGATTCGACGAGAGCTGAAAAAAAGTGGCGATAGACATAAAAAAACATATTATAGTAAAATTAATACCTTCTCAGTATCACATTGAAGCTAAAATGAACTTCAAGCGTTAATCGATGAAAGGGGGCCTTATCTAATATTTTCTGGTAAATAAAAAAGACACCTATGCCTAAATTTTTATTTATATTAATTATAATTTAATATTACAGTTTTAACGGTAGTGTATTATATTAAATTGGTATATAATAGTATGTTATGATAATTTCTAGTGATTATAACTCCGGAAAAGTATTTTCCTTGGTCAAGTGTTCCATGATAATTAAACACGTAAAATTCTTTCTTAGAAAATGTTATCCTCGATATATTCCATAGTAATATAATACATAATAATAATTTTTCCAAAGAATATTTTTCTCGATAATACATTCCGGCATTAATTAATTTCGATATAATAATCATCTCATGTAACATTCCTCATAGGTACGTTTCCTAAATTTTTTGTTCCTATCAAATACTGTCCCTATCAATATTTTTGTACTGATAAATATTTTACCAAAAAAAAAAAATCATTCTTATCCATATTATATAGGAATACATTACTCCCGTTCGTACGTGTAATTTTAACTCAACAAATAATAACTCTTATCAATATTCAATTAACAAAAAATAACTAAACATTGTGCAAAAGATGATTATATAATGGTTAATTATTAAATGAAAGAAAATTCTACATCTTCATAGATTCAGTTTTGCAAATGTTTTTTGAGTACTTCTTCATCGATAATGTAAAGTTTTTTGAGTTTTAATGACCTCAAAAAAAAAAAAATTCTAAATATCATCATAAAAGTAGAATTTAGAAATGGATTGGTGCTATCATAAATTTATACAAATTGAGTGTCATACATAATTGTTATTGTTTTTATTTAAAAGTAAACTTTTTTTTTTTTTTTTATCTGATTTTTAGATAGTTCATATTATAGAGTACTTATAACATGGATGAAACTTCAGAGAACATTGATCATGTATTTCAGTCTCTTGAAGTTACTGTACCAAATGTGATAAAAAATCATGAAACAAACGGTATTTCTGAAATAGAGAAAATTAAAAATAATAAAAAGCATAAGAAATCAAAAAAACACAAAAAACACAAAAAATCTAAAAAAAAAAAAAAGCATTCACGCTCAAAATCACCTAAAGATCATGTGAAGTTAAAATTAAAAAATGATGAACTTAAAGAAGTAAAATCTCATATACAAGTAACATTAAATGATGTTTTAGAAACAATTATTACAACACCCAATGAGGAAAACACAGAATTAAAAAACAATACTATTGTTGAAGAATTTTCTAATGGACAAAAATCATTAATTGGAGAAGATAAAATTAGCACAACAAGTAATGTATTTTTGTTTTTACTTAAATTATATTTTGATATAACTTAAGTCTTCAAACTAATTGAAATTTCTATATATTACAATTTATTTCTATATATTAGAAACCATGACTATTTGCAATAAATAAGGCACTAACTCAAAAAATTTGATTTTTGAGGTATTTGAATTTAAGTTTTAATTTTCTTATTTTAAAATATTGAGAACTTGTTTTGAATTGGAATTAAGCTATTCAGAAAATTGATAAATATATAATGTGTAATCAGACAGTAAATTTTATTTTTGATCTCTTGAAAAGTGAGATTAAAAAAGTGCCTTATTTGTTGTGCATATCAATATTATCTTAATTTTCTTTGAGAATATTATTATTATTTAGGTTTCTTTATTCTCATATCATCATAAATAAATAATTTTTTTTTTTAATTAAATTTAAACTCATGATTTTTCGTATTTAATGGTGTGGTAATATCTTAAATGATTATTATGATCATATAAAAAAAAAAATGGTGAAAAATAAGATAATCAGCAAATAATTTAAATAAAGAGTAGGGAAACGTGGAATATGAAAAAAAGACTAAATTAAAAAAGTGAAATTGATGGTTTGTCCACAATTGTCATTTACAGTGGTTAGGAAAAATGGTAATTTTTTTCGTACTGGCATGATCAAAATTGTGTATTGATTACTATTTTATTATTTTGTGTGTGTATGATACCATTGTATATTTGGAATACAATTATTTATAATAGTTATAAAGAAATATTAATATTATTTTATTATTATGTGTGTGTGGGTTGCTGGTCTTTCGGTCATTACCAATAACTAGTATGTGAGCTAACTTGTCTCTGAGCAATACTGTCCCTTAGTTAATAGAGTGAAAAGGTAGTGCTGGTGCCTAACAAAGAGTCACCTTACAGTTTGCTACTTTCAAGCTAAACTTTTCTAAATGGGTCTATCGGCTACCCCTTTAGTGGCTTACTAACTTGAGAACATTGGGTTGACCGGTGTATTCCGACAAGTGTACTCGGAAGAGCTAAAAAATGCAGTTAACATTAAAGAGTATATTTTGTTTGTTTTTGTGTGTGTTTTGGTATCTACATAAGGCCAAGTTGATGTATGACAGTGGTGTATAACTGAATATCAATATCAGGTTATTGATGGTTGATTTTATTTACTGTAATTTTTCACTCAAATTCTCACAATCAAAATTCATATAATTGTTATGGTTTCAAAGTATAATTGCCACTTTGATATTATTCTTATTAATTAAAAGATTTTACAGATTTTTAATATTTATATTTAAATTATTTTTATTTTATTTTCTTTTACAGATTTAATCTCAAAAAATATTAATAATAGCAGTAAAATTATTATTAAAGATTTANAAAATATTAATAATAGCAGTAAAATTATTATTAAAGATTTAAAAAAAAGTAAAGTATATCATGAGTTGATAAATGAAGTTGAAGAGAAAAAAAGCTCAAAAACAAAACTTAATGAAGTAAATACTTTATCAGAAAGTTATGATGATTATAAATTCAAAAAAGGTTTGTTTATGTTTTTTTTAACTATAATATATTAATTGGTAAGAGAATTTTTTAATTTTTGGGATTTGTAGCTAAAAATTATTCAAAACCTATCCTAAAATTACTCAATGACCCCTTGTATTTTTTCTCTAGTATTTCTTAACAAGCTTTACTAATATTAGGTAAATTCCAAAAATTATTATATATATTGTATTCTTGACATCATATTAAAAATCTTATATGATAAAACATTTATTAAATAACAGATAAATAATATCAAGACTCCTAAATATAATAAAAAAAGTATAAATTATATCAAACATTTTTTTTTCTGATCTTAAATAGTAGCTTAAATTTTTTGAACTGATTTTCAGTTAATCAATTTCCTTTATAAAATACTATACATTTTGTCTAGAAAAACATAAATCACATAAATCTAGAAGGAAAAAGAGATCACGAAGTAATGACAGATCTAGAAGTCCAAAACATCGTAAAAGACAAAACTCTTCTTCTAAAAAAGATGAAAGGTGAGAAATTTTTATTTATTTAAAAGTATTAATATATTTTTTCAACTAAATGCTTCATATTATAAATATTTTCATTATATAACAATAAATTATGAAAAGTCATTTAATTGTATAAGAAACTAATTGGCTAAGCTTAAAAATCTACATAGGTTTATTTATTTTTATTGTGTTTATTTTACTATATTTATATGTAATGTTAAATGTGACTCAAGAACACTTTCAAAGCAAAGTAATCATAAACACCATCAATCAAGGTCACCATCTCGAAGCAGAAATACTTCCAACTCAATGTATCGAAAAAGAAAAAGTCGTAGTAGATCGTTACATAAATATGAATCATATAAATCAAATAAACGATCAAAAACACCTGACAAAACTCATTCAAGAGATCATAGACGACGCAGTAGATCTAGAGAATGTGAAAGACCACAAAAAAGATCTCGATCCAATGAAACTTCAAATAAATTGTCAAAGTATCATTCTCCATCATGGTAAACAAGGCAATAAAAATGCTTATTCACTAAATTGACATTTTTTATGTTTCTTTTATTTTTTAGTGAAAAAATAGACAAGAAAAAATTATTGAAAATTGCTCGAAAAAACGCTTTATCATTAGTTCAACAAGGTGTACTACCTGTAGGCAGTGTTAAAAAAGAGTCATTAGCCAATTTACCTACCAAATCTGTTGATGAATTAACAGGTATTTAATCAATATAAGGATTTGATCTAAGAATTATTTTATATAAGATATACAGGATGATAATATTGATAATTTTTTTTATTGGTTTCTTATAGTTCAATGTTTTTATCAATTGTAAAATATTTTTTCATGTTGTGTACTTTATTAAGGTGTTAAGTTAATTTTTCAAATAATATTACACATAGTTTACTAGCTAATTTACTGGATAATAGTTTAATTTAGAAAATAACTGGTCGATAATAACTTTTGGACCAATATTTCAGAAGTTATTAATATTTTAGTTTATCAAATAAATAAAGTAGTTAACTATACATGTTAACATTTTATACATTAATGTTCACACCCTTATAAGGTATAATAGATGAATATAAAAAATCTTAATGATCTATAAATTAAAAAAACGTGGAAAAAAATAAACTAATAAAAATATATCAATATTATTTTTATTTTTCGATTAATCAAGTGATCTGTATTATGAATCATTCTGTATATATACACAGTGTATTCAGTAAGTAAGGAAACAGGTTAACTGTTACAAAAAGTGAGAACAATAGAAACCTAATTCCCTACTTATTAAACACCTATATATATATACATATGTGGGAAATACAACAAGCAACCACAGGAACAAAGCAAAGACACAATACTATTACTTAATACATATATATTTATTATTTATATAAATAATATATATGTATTCACACGCAAAAGCCCTGTTAAATATTCACAAACAAAAATAACATATATAAAGCAAAATACACATATGAATTAAAATTCACACAAAAACTCACGACTGACTCACAACTTAATTTAATTTTCCCTTCTTATAATACTAAGTGATACCACTATCTGCCTCCAGACCCTGGAAGTGGTGCCATTTAGACACCAATGGTACCCACATATATATATTTATAATTTATTAATTATAATTTTTATAGATGCTGTAATAATTTAGTTTTATAGTTCTAAATATGTATGGTTTTAGATTTTTGTAGGAAATTATCAAAAAAAGAAAAAGAAAATGGAGATGACTCCCTATCTTCTACATCTGACGAAGAGTCCAAACAACCTTTTCATCATCCATTTTTGGTTAAAGACAGACCTAACATAGTTATGAATATCAGAGTAATATTACTAATTAAACTTAATTATACTTTTTTAATAAAATTCTATGTTCAAATAATCTTTTTAGAACGCAACACAATTACCCACAAAATCTTTTCAAGAAAAAACTGTCGAACAAGATGTTCTAAGATTACAATTTCCTGTATCAAGTGGCCAAACACATAGCTTAGCTGTTAATGAATGGGTACCATTATGTCCTGAAGAATCAGCCAAGTTAAACAAAATTTCTTTACCAGGAGAAACTTTAAAATCAAATAAACCTCAAAATGCATCTACACTACCCAAAATTGCAATGGTATAATAGATTATTTTGTAAGACCTATTAGTAAAAATATAAAAATTATAGGTTGAACCATTCAATAAAGATGCCAGTCCAAAAGAGGAACTAGTGTCAATATCATATCAATATCCAAAAGTCATTGAACCTCAACCAGTTCCTCCTACCAACTTAGTTCCTACAAACCCTTACGTAAGTAATAATTTAAGGAATTGCTGGTAGTTATTATTATATTTGTCATTCACACTCAATAAATCACAATTAATTAGAATAATTGATTAATATTAATTAAAAATTCATTCTATACATTTTTTAAAATTAAAATTGAACATAACAGCTATATAATATATGAATGACTAACATGAATAATTTCTATTAGTTAATTCCTAAAATAATAATTTATTTGGCTAGAACCAAAAAGATTATTAATTTTTAACATTGTTTAGGTGTAAACTGAAATGAAGTGGGAGGCCTACCTAATTAATAAAGAATGCTCTAAAGATCAGATATTTTTACTTTTATTTCTATATTTTTCTAAATATTTGTACTTGTATTTTTAGTTTGTTTTTTTTCTTATTGATTAGCTTAATTTTTCATAAAATTTTATTCTATTAAAAAACCAGTTTATTTGTATCATAGGTCTCATATGTCAAACGCTAAAATATTTATTCTCAAACTAAGTGCAGGGTAATCAAAAAATAGAAATATGGCATCTACATAGTATACTGGCTACCAATGTGACACATTTAAATTTATCATTGTGACAAAATTTTATTTAATAAAATTAATTAAAAATAATGATTTTTTCTTCTTTGTAACTTTATTATACATACCTTGATTTTAGATTTATTGAAACTACAGAAATAATTAGCTTTTAATTATTTGTATCAATATTTTAGGCTAATATTGGGTATTCATTACTATCTTATGAAACGGGGCAGTTTACTGGGCACACTGGTGCAAAAATTTTAACTCCAGCTGAATTAGCTACTGGGTATCAACCATGGGTAAAAAAGGTAACAATATCAATTTATTTTACTTTTTTTTTACCAAAATAATTTTATAAATTTCTGAATTTATTAATTGGTTTTCCAAAACCAAGATATATGAATTACTGTAAAAGTATTATTTTTTATTAGTATTTCTTGTAAAATAAATCAACATTGATTTTCATTGGGCTTTCAACCACTTAAATCAACTATACTAATTACAAATTCTGATTTTTCCATAATTCGATTTATTTTTTTTATGCGTTGAATTTTGATTTATATTGCATTGTTTTAGTTTTTAGTATCATGAGTTATCTAGTCTTTAAAATTCTATAAAAGGCAACTTTGATTATATTTTTTAAAAATGATCATATATTATAAAACAACTTGTTATTTAACTCTATGATTATATCTCAAATAATAAAAAAATTATACAATAATTACATTATTTCTAAAGATTCTGCATGACTTTATGTGATATTTTATTATTAGATAAAATAGTAAGTTTTCTATGCTTTTAGGGCATATGCTCTAATTGCATAGAATGTATAATACACATTGTTTCATAAGTGCAAGGAAGCCAAATGAAAATCTGTTGCAGGACATATTACTTGTTTTTTAACAAATTTAAGCTCTATTCTTACAACAACAGAATTGATCATTGGATTGTCTGCTACAATATCAAGGATTTGTCAGAAGATACCCCTGGTAATTTTCCTTCATATGTAAATATATACATACATACATTTGTATATGTTTACAGTATGTAGTTGAATATGTCAAATATTTTTGTCAAAAACTTCAAAAGTGTTTAACTTAAGTAAATACTTTCATTAGAAAATTTTGAACAAATACATGTTCTAAAAACATTGAATTAAAGTTTATATCAATGGAAAAAAAAATGTAAAATATATTTGAACTTGATTAAACTTTATTTAACTTGATTTACTTGTTTATAAAATATTATATTTGTTTATTATTGGCTTAAAAATCAAACAAAAAAATTCTATTACTTTAAAATAATATGCCTACCGTTGTTTCATAGGATCAGCTCAGAAATACAGCTCCAGTTAATAGTGGTATGGGAATGCATTTGTTGCAAAAAATGGGTTGGAAACCCGGAGAAGGTTTAGGAAAAAATCAGTCTGGGTCATTGGAACCGCTTTTATTGGATGTTAAAATAGATAAAAAAGGCAAGTATTCCATTTTTTTTTTTTTTTAGATTTTTGTGTAACAATAACTTTTAAAAAATAATTATATTTAGGGCTTGTTTCTGCTGAGGAAGAAAATCAATCAATTTTTATTAATAGGTCAAACAAAAGATTTCCAAAAAAAGCTGCTATTCCAACTTTATCACTTGAAGGTATAATTAAAAATAATAAATAGTCTCTTTACAAATTTCAATTTTTAATATTTTTAGGGAAACATCCAGTGTCATTATTAAATGAATTTTGTGCCAAACGTAAGTGGGAAGTACCTAAGTTTGATACATTAGATGAATCTGGGCCTAGTCATAGAAAAACATTTATAATTGCTGTATGTTTTACGTTTAAAATTTCATCAAATTCAGTAGATATCAATTTATAAAGTTTTAACTGTTTAGGTTATTGTAAATGGTGTCAAATATTGTTCTTCAAGATGTCAAACAAAAAAACTAGCAAAAATGGATGCTGCTAAAATATGTTTAAAAGAAATTGGTTTGTTAACTTAATTTGTATATATGAAAATACATTACAAAAACAGTAAAATATTTTGGTTTAATTTTTTGTTATAGTAACAAAGAAAATAAATAAATAACACATTTATTTACTAGAAAAATAATTATTTTTTAGTCAAAATCATTGAATATTAACTATTTATTAGTATAAAATAGTAATATTTATTACTATTTTAATTGTTCTTTTAAATTATAAAATAAATTATTTTCTTTAAACCAAATATATATTTATAAAAAAGAAAAATCAAGACTGGTCACAAATTAAAAACATAAAAAACTTATAAATTAATTGTATAATCTAAAATTTAAAATAATTTAAAGAAAACAAATGTCATAACTATTAGTTATAGGTTTTAAATCTAAATAAATTAGCATACTAAAAGCATAGCAATATAAAATATTACATTACTTGGGTAATATATTATAACTTCAAATAAATTTTTTCATATATTGATTATAAATTTTTATAAATTGTCGTTTAGTGTAAGGAGGAGGTTTTTTATTTAATAAATATTTTTCTGAATAACTTTTATACATATACTCAACATTAATACTTGTCTCGAAAAATATCTTACATTTTTCTTCAATTTTGTAATGAGAAGTTAGTACTCTAGGAATGTTTTGTATGTATGATATGACATTTTCATATTCATTACGAGGAACTTCATCCAATAGAACATCAAGCTGATGGTCAGGAATAAACATATAATAATCTTTGTCTAACATACTAAAAGATTCTTTCATAAATTTAGTTATTATAGTTGATTCATTAATGACATTGACTTCAAAGGGTTTATTAGCTTTTAATGCTGTTTCTTTATTATAATACCAATTGTAATTAACTGGATTTAAAATTGAATCCAAACGTTGTTCTGTGATACCAAGAGTGTTTAAAAAAAATGAACGGCAAACATGGACAAATTCTTTATCCTTTAAAAGACGATATATTGGACAACAATCAAAAGCACCATTTGTTTTTTTAACCATTCGTACTTTTAACCATTGCGCTATTTCACAATTTTGTTCTGTTATACAACTTAACAAATGGAATTTTTTATATATTTTTACTCGTTCTGGTTCAGGAATTTTGAAGTAACATATTAGCTGGCAACTAGAATCACAACTATGAGGAAGCATTTCCCCATAAGACTCTCCTAAATTCTTATCATAAATTATAGATTCAGGTATATCTGGAAAAGTTGAAATTATCAAAATATTTGTGTAATATAAAATAAATATATTTAAAAAAAAATATATAGTTACTTTTTGGATTAATTTCCTTGTGCAATTCTAATATTTCTTGACGAACTGGAGTTGAGCATATCTGAGGGGGTAAATTTCCAACATTATCGCTATTCAGCATATCCAAGTAAACATAATCTTGTTCACTGTTTGTACTTTTTGAAGAGTTTTCATTTTCTATAATATATAAAGTTTTAGCTAATTTTTATGAAATACAAATAAAAATGCATTTTTGTATGTATTATTAATGGTATTTGCGTATTAAAACATCATTTTGGTATATACTAGGCTCCTTCTAGCTGAGGCTTTTGCCCAAATCCAGGGCCCTACAAGCCTCATACGACTTTGGCGCGTGAGGCTCTTAGAGATGTCTATATAAGTAGTCCACAGATTCCGGTAGGTATAACCAATTACTTAATGATTTGCAAAAAAAAAATATAATATCACAATCAGTTTAACAAAAATATATTAAAAATGTAATTATTAAAATGAGGATAATTCAAATAGAGAAAATATATAATACATTGTGTACAAGGTTGATGTTTGTTTACAGAGGTATTCATCAAGAAATCATTTTAGTAAGGGGCTTAATTTTTTTTAATTTGGTATACATACTAAAATATTTATTGGTAAAAATCATAATAAAGAAAAAAATTTCTTGTTGACTGAGTACTTTTGTTTTTGAATTGAAAAATTTTCAAAATCAAGCACATTAATTAATTTATACATAAAAGTGTATTCTATTATATTACAAGATTAATGTATTTAATATTCACAAAAAAAAAAAACACTTCATATCACTATGTTTTTAGGTGTCAAAAACTTTAAAGCGCTATGAAATATAAACATTTTTATTAAGAAATTAAATGAGCTAATTAGTAATCTTATCATTGATTATAAAAACTTAGACGTAATGTAAATTCTAATAAAAACGCATACAACTACACCTTGGTATATAAGATTATAAAATTCAGAACCATACGAGTTCAGTACAAAACTATTGACAAAAAGTAATTCTTAAATATTAGTTTTTTTATTTTCCAAGTAAAAAATGTTGTGTGCAATAATCATGAAAATAGGCTATTAAGCAAGTAATTATACTTCTAGTTAGAAATTAATTAAATTTACCTAGACATTTTTCAGGTGATGAGAGTTGTATTGTGGTTATATTGTTCATAACATTCTTCTCACAAACTTGTACAAATGTATTAGCAAATAAGGGTTCTTCATTTTTTTTTATTTTACTATTTTCTTTAATAATAATTACAAAAAACTATGTTTTATGGATGGTTAAGAAAATGTATACAGTTAAAACTATATATAACTAATTTTTAAAAATACTAACAAATCATAGTTACAATATTAGCTATGATATAATGGTCCTAGAGAAACTGTTTATAAAAATTCAAGATTTCTTATTAATTAAAATACTTAATCAAATATTTACAAGGAATATTACTCTACCTTGAACCAAATATTCATCACGTGATTCAATAAAAGGATCATTAATGGTAGTTTCTATAACACATTCCTGCACCATATCTAAAGGGTCAATTGTAAAATCTACATGGCTTATATTATTTTCTTCTAATTCAAAATCTTTTACATCTAAAACAGAATTATAAATATAATTAACATTTAATTAAAAATTAAATGGTTTAATGGTTGATTTAAGACTAGAACTTTCCTAGAAAGACAGTGGTGATTGGATAGATGGCAAATCTAAATAAACTAATTCTAAATTAGCCTTATGACTTGTACGTTATGACTTCTGAATTAAAACTAAAATTATAGTTAAATTGTTTTCAAAAATTTAGGGTTTCAAACAATTTCTTACATGAAATGAAAGTTAAAATGAATGGTATCAATAGTGATCATGAAAAATTCAAATAAAAATAAACAATAATGTGAAAACAAAACGTTTTTAAAAATAAATATATTCAAATAATTTAATAAAAACTATTTTTATTATTATATAACTATTATTATTATTATTTGTAAAATTTAATTAAATATTAAAAATCGACATAAGCATAAATATTCATTATAAAATAAATATCTCTTTAATTATCAAATATTTCTTTTAATTTCTCTATTATATATAATTTATTTACAAGTTAATATTATATTTCCAAAAAATGGAATTTAAAATTAAAAAAAATAATATGAACATTGGCTTGAATTTGACCTTAAAAAGCTCTGAAATGAATATTTAATTTAGAGTTGTCTTTTATATTTATTACTTCTATATTTTGACATTATAACAAAAAAAATCTTAAGAGTGCCAAAATATCACTTTGCCAACTTTCCTACTAGTTATACCACTGATTACGAAGCATAATAAAGATTAATACTTGGTGTATCTTGTAAGGTTTTACTTTCAATGTCCATATTATGATTTATTATACTTTCCACTGCTGAATTCAATTTCTCATCTCTTTCTTGAACTTCATTATTTCCATCTAATATGTCTAAGTAAACATATTCTAAATCTTCTTCTTTGTCATTGGATGATTTTAATGAATCTAACAACAGATATTTTTAATGACTAAATATGAAATAAATAATGAAAATGGACCTAGGTTTACACACACCATAACCATATTCAATTTTTGATAAACACTTAACTGAACCTAAAAAATAGGCTTCCTTATTTTATAACTTATCAAAATAAAGGTAATTTAAAATAATTTTATTACTATTTGTAAATAAATAAATATATAAAAACCAAATAGTAATTTTCTCAGCAAATAAATAAAATAAAAATAAAACCTGAAGGTATAAGAGTTTGCGCAAATGAATCAAAAAATGATTGGAGGGTATTGTTTACTAAATTGTTCTTAGAATCCACTTCAGCACCATTATCATTTATTTTGTTTTCAATTTTTCCTACTGCATTAATGTTTTTCACTGTAATAACAATTAATTGAATTTGTATGATTGTAAAAATAATAGCAATTTAAAATTTTAAATAATGGTATAATTTATATGATATTGATAAAACATATAATCCCTACTTAAATAATAATTGAATTTTATTATTATTAAAATTATTTTAAGAATAAATTTTTAATAAAGATGAAAAAGATTATATGGTTAAAAGAACTCATTTGAAAATTCAGTTATTAAATATTTGTTGTAGTTTACAAATGTGTATATTTTAGTAAATAATAAATAAAAGTATACAAGCAAAAAAATTGTTCTGTTATAATTTATAGCCATTAAATCTTTAAATTATTTTATATAATATTTAGATTTTATCTTCTTTTTAAGTAGAAGAAATAATAATTATTACATCAAATGACGCCTGAAAACATTTTAAAAGATTCATATTTACAAATTTCTATTTTGTCAATAAATATCAAATTAAATATTTAAAATCCTACCATTTAATCTATCCAACGTAATCACAATACAAAACCATTATTTTATCTTAAAAATGTTATAAAAACTATTATTAAATACTATGATTATTAAAGAATGAAAAAAAGTTGTTAAAAATAGTTTTATTATTTGATAGTAGTTAAATTACTAAGATTCTATTGAATATCAGTGAATTTTATAAGGTAAATAAAAATTGATTTACAGTTTTTATTGTTGTCATTCATTTTTTCAAAATCCACTGTTTCTTCATTAACCATCAAACAGTCTGAAGAAACTTGGTTGAATGTGACTCTAATATTTGACTGTTTTATTGGAATATTGTTATTTTTGACATCACACTTGTTTCGGTCAATTTTTGAAGACAACACAAAAGGTTTCTAAAGAAGAAGGGTAGAAAATCATTTGAGTCATCTAGTAGTAAAATTATACAAATCCAAATTATACAAACACTTTTTTTAATCTCTTTTCTTCACTAATGAAATATTTTTTTAATAGAATTTTGTTATAAAATTTAAAATTACATTAATTTATAACTTAAATAACTACACAAAAAGGATAACAATACTAATTGACCGATATAAAAATTCATAAAACTAAATTACATTACATAAACTAAATTCTTAATGTAAAATTAAAAAAAAAAATTAAATCTTAAATTATAAATGATTGTTAATAATGCCTAAATAAATAATTTTATATTATAAAATTAAAATGTAATTTTCAATTTAGTTTTAAAAAAATTTTGATTAGTATATATTACAATTGAACATTTTTTAAGAAGTACCTTGACATTTATTGATGGAATTGCATATTGAGATAACTCATAGCCATTATCTTTTTTTTCTAATTGATATTTTTCAAAATGGTTAGAACAAATGTAATCTGATTCATTGGGTTTCCAATTAGGCATCTTAAGAGACCTCATCCACATTTTCAATTTTGGTTTATTGTTCAAAGGATATCTTAAAATGTTAAATAATATTCATAAAAATAACTTCATAATACAGAGTTTATAAATTGATAAATATATTAAGTAGAAAATGTTTTACTTAAAAAATATTGCATTTTTGCTGTCTTTAGGTAACATTTTTTTACAACTGTCAATAGAACATTTAATTGTATCTTCAGCTAGTTGATTTTTTACATCATATGCATACATATAACATATAAAAATTAAATTAAATTATACACCACGGTAAATATTACTTAAGATAAATTATACCATTATATATTTCATTATGCTTTTTATGTTTTCTAGAAAGTTTTAAATATTCTTCTGGCAATAAATACAGTTGGGGTATCACGGTTTCGTTTTTTAAAATTGTTTGTCTATAACGTTTACTATTCTTTTCAACAATACTAGTAATAAAATCAGAATCATCAAAATGAATCGAACAAATTTTCGCATTAGAGTTAAAATTAGACTTTTGATTGCATAAGGTCCACCATTGTTTACAAAGTTCTTCATTTTCTAATGGAAAATTTATATAAAATAACTTGTCAAAATGGTTTCTTGCTTTTTGATTACATAGAACAACAGCACATTCTTGTGATGAATTACATTTGATCTAAAAATATATTTTTACCATTTTGGTAAAATAAAAATATATAATTAATAATGTTTCATTTAAAATTAAATTGTGAATAAAAACATTTTTTTAATTAAAGTGCTAATGAAAAACACTTTTTAAGAAAAAATTTGAAACTGTATACAAATACTAATAATCTGAAACCTCACATAACTGATTATTTACATTGTCTTCACAGCATAAAACAATTAACTTTAATATAATTAAAAATCAAGGATTAAAACTATTAAAAAAAAAAAAATAGGGTTAATTAATCTTGGTAAAAACCAAATTTTAATTAAAATAAGCAGCCAGTATTAGTATAAGATTACTAGTTTTCTAAAAGAAACTTACCAGTTACTATTTCTTTAAAAAACTAAGAAAATAAATGTTAACCTCTTAAAACCAGTTATAATATTTTTGGTTATCAATAACTGGTTAAAAATAAAACAAATTTTAGAAGTATTTAATTGACACAAATAAAATTTTCAGAGAAATTATTCATGAGACAATTTTTTATTCTCCCATCTCACTAAGTGTATCTAAGCTCACAATTATTTTCTTCAGTGAGGCTTGACACAAAATTACTACTGTTGTAATAATAACTATGATGGTACAGTTAGGGTAGTGCTCCCCCCTCAAAAATGGTAACTTCACAATGTAATCATTTTTACTCTAAAGGAATTTATTTATTATTTTATTAAAATTTAATACATAATAATAGAACGACTGTAAAAATTTTAAATTCTAACCAATCATTATTGAAATTTATTATTTTTAAATAAAACTGATTATTTTTATAAGATTAACGTTTTCTTTTTTTAACTTATTGTGTCAGTTGCTGGATACCAGTTAATAATTTAAAAAAATATTCAATTACCTAAAAGAGATTACATTAAATTTAATTAAAAAAAAACCGTGAACCACTTCATGATTAGAAAAATGAGTTTTAACCGGTTTTTGAAGAAAATCAGTAACTGGTTTCAAACCTTAAAAAAACTATAAAACTCAATTAAAAGAGTAGTAAAATTACATACATTATTCAAAGTTGTTGAGGATGATGATGACAATGATACTAAATCTATTTCATTAAATTGGGTAGTAATGTTTTTATTATTCATAAGTGAGACTTCAAAATCTTCACTATCTTCTGTAAGTGAGCTAATATCCTAAAAAAATCATCAAAATTTTATTATGTAGAAAATATTTTTGAAAGCAATTGAATAAAGCTTGTAATAGAATTTGATACCCATTGATATTTTACAACAAATTAATATTGTAAATATGTGGGAAAACATTTCAAAAATACATTGAAGTTAATTGTATAGTTGATATGATAAATGAATTAAAAATATATATTTTATTTATTAAATAAACTATAATATAAAGATAAAATATATAACTATAAGTCATCAAATCAAAAAAATCACACAAAGTAATTAGTTCATCATAAATCAACTTGTATAAACAATGTATATATTTTTTTGTACATATACATCAGAGCTAAATTGTGAAATGGCATAGTCATTTTTTTTTCATCATAACTAAGTTATTTGACCTAAAATTGTAATTTTTTAAGAACTTGTTAGAAAATAAAAACCAAATGGTTTTATTTGGTTGTAAAAACCAAATATATTATGAAAACACTTTTAAAATCTTAATCAAACTTAAAATTTAACAATATTAATTATCAATTAAAATTTTAATTTTTGGTTTCCATAAACATTCTTTAACATTTGCTAAAAAAAATTCAATATAGATGTACTAATTTATTACAGGGGAGTATTTAAGGCGGATATAGGGAAGATTACTCCTGTGGGTTAATACTAATATTTTCTAAAGCCGAAATCTGGCTCCAAAAACTTGTGTAGTCATCACTTTACTTTTTAGCAAATAAATTTTTTGCAATATGCTTACCAAAATAAAAAAATTAATTTTCTCCCTTTAAAATTAGTTTTAAATTTTCCATTGTTTATTAGATGTAAGAAAAATTGCAAAAAACAAAATAATTTCAGTTCCTAATGTATATGTTTAAAAATTTCTGGCAAATATTAATTTTTTTTTTGCTTTTAATTGAAAGAACAAAGGCTTATTTCCTTATTTAAGTAATACTTCTAGGTCTCAAACAAAAGTTTTCTTTTTATTTTGTATTTCTAGTTTGCCAAATAAAAAAAAATGATTAAGCTTTTAAATTTTTTGGAAATATCTTAAAATTCATTTCACACAATAATAATAAATAAAATCTGTAAACTTTATCTGATTAATAATCTTACACTATCTAATGAACTAAAAGATTTTGAATCACTTTCAGATGAATTTACATCACTACAGTTTGGAGTATCAAAACATTCTGATGTATTTATAGTGTTTATGTCTGAGAATTCGATATCACTAGTATCATAATTGTAGTTTTTAGAAGAAAATACATTTTTCTTTTTTCTTTTGAACTAAAAAAAAAATTAAAAACGACATAAAAAATTACTATTTTAATTTAAATAATTAATAATTGTTTTAATTAAATACAATTTGCTACTTTTAACTAACATCACTAAATGGTACAGTTAAAGAACCAGTGTTAGATTTTAGCCTTTTCATATTACCAGCTTTATAACTTTCAATTGGGAAACGACTGTTATAAATCTTGTTTTGTTTTCGAAGTAACCAATTTTGACGATTTGTTGACATTATTCAATAAGGTTATAGAAAATGATTATTTGTCGAAAATCTAAAACATGAAGTCAACAGTCAATAGGTACATAATTTAAAAATAATTAAATTTATTAATACTTCTGAGATATGATCTTTTCAAAAAAAATACCGATACATTCAGGAACTTGAAATTGACGTATCATGATAGCGACTTAATAAATTTGATAATAAGATCATAATAAGTCTAGAAACACTTTAAATTTTATTAATAACTAGGTCTCATTGTTATTACAGTTACATTTAAAATTAAATTACATGTGATAGATAATAAATATGATACTAGAAATAGAATGTGGTTTAATAATGTTTCAACAAATGTTATCTATTGAAGTTTATGGATACATGTCCAACCAATATAAGTTCGCGTTAAATATGCTTAAGCAATTATTCATGTTGTCATCTTTTACCAATTGGTAAATAATAACATAAAATTTCAGTATTTTCTTTTTCCTGTTTAAAGTCGAAATGGAACACAATTTATAAGTTGGAGTTGTTACCCTGACAAATATTTAATTTTTATTTCATCTTTAATATATTGGTTAAAAAAAAAACAAAAGGGAATTCATCAACTGAAAATGAGCCTATATTGTAATTGTTATAGTATACTACAATTGTATCATAATTTTACAATAAAAATTTGATATATTTATAATTTGGTCATTAATTAGATTAAACTAAACATAATTTGGAATATTATGTACAAAAGTTTTGTTTGTTATAAATAAATCATTACAATATATTAAACATTTAAATTGAATTTTTTTTAATTGTTGCATTAAATTAAACATTTACGCAAATCCTTTATACAATATTTTTGCAATAAATATTCAATGAAAATATTACACATTTTTCTATATTTATTAATATTATTAATATTTATTTAAATATAAATTTTAATGCTATGACTAAAAATTAAAGTACGGGTCTGTTTATTTCGGGAGAGCACCTTTGTCACGAACTGATGATGCTCCAACATTTACATACTTCGACATTTGACAAAGTAGAAATTGTTACGAACATCTGGAACTCCGACCATCTGATTCATAGGTTACCAAAATTATGACGGATTTTACTCCGACAATAAATTTAAAAAATGAGATAGTAAAAACTCCGACATTATCGATAGTTTGATTATGCATCGAAAGTTATATTATATTTCGATTGCATTGTTAGTAATAGGGCGCATTGATCGTATATGTTGCAACGTCAGGGTCACGTGGCTACAGAAACACTACATTATTAAATTAATTATATTATTATTAATAATATTGTAAAATTTAAATTAAAATGTTCTATTCAATTAGCATTTATTTGCTACTATAGTTATTATACAATAATATACATTTTGCTTATTATTTTCTGGTACAATTTCTCACATTTGACATATGTTATTAATACTCGAATGATAATAGTCATTCATTAAGTAACATAAAATTAATAGTGTTTAATACAAATGTACATTTTTGAAAAAGTTTTCTCTATTGTTAAAATATATATTTATCTTTGTGAATTTTATTTTTTAACATCTAAGAGATCCATTTGAAAACTAATTTTTCTATAACAAATATGTGCTGTAAAAATTGTCTTGTGCAATTTTATTAGTGATTAATTCCTAAGTGTGTAATATTAAAAAATAATAACTAATATAACACATAAAATTGTTTGTACAATATAAAATCATTCTTGGGGATGTCTGGATTTTTTCCTGTGCTACATTAGAATATCTAAGTATAAAATAACACAGTATATCCAACTTCAATGCAGTAATTGTTGAACACATTTTTTTTAGTCTTATTACTTTCTGGAAGTTTCTTCCAATAGGTTTTTATAGACTCAGAAGAGTATGATTAATTTTTCTTTCAGCAATTTTAATTGAAAATTAATTACTAAAATTATTTTTAACTTATATTAAAAAAAATTAAAATAGTATTAAACTGTGTAAGTTTTGCTACAAGTCTAATATGAGTTATGCTAAGAATTAGTAAGTTTTGGTTATATATAAGTAGAATTAATTTTTTCTTATTTAAAAATTCTGTGTGTCATCTAAAATTAAAAATATATTAACTCATCGTTAAAAAAATTAAATTTTGTGACATGAGTTTTATAATCAATGTTAAGTTATAAGTAAAACCATTATAATCTCCAGTGGTGCTCAAAAAAAAGTTAAAAATATTAAGGAGTAAAAAATTATTTATTTAAGGTTCTTTTGNGTAAAAAATTATTTATTTAAAGTTCTTTTTGTTTAAAATCTAATATACATTTATTGAAATCAGTTTAATATTTCCTTGAAAAAAATATCTGAATAGCCTTTCCTTTTTTTAATAATAATTAAATTTGTTGGACAATTTTCTCAGTGGTCCAGTGAGAAAAAAAATCTTAAATTTAATGAGGGCCTTCTGAGCCAGGCCGACACTGCGAAAAGATGATTATTTTGCCAATGTTTTCATCTCGTTAGCTTAACGCGTATCCTGCAAATACAAATGTATTGTTTTATAAATACAAAATGAAGTTTTTTTAAAAATTTGAATTAATTTTATATGTACTTTTTAGAATATGAAAGCATATTCCAAAAAAAATAAAAATTAATTTTCAAAATAAAATCACGTAATGTAATGTATTATGTTTTGTAAAAATGTAAATATATATATTTATATATATATGTCCTATAAAAAAAGTTGTACAGTTTCAATATTACATTATTATATTTGATTTCCATTTAATGAGAAAAAATGAATAATTGTTTGATTATCAATCATGATTATAAATTAAAATATTTAACTCTATACGTATATTTGACAAAACTTCAAATAATCATAATGCAAATGAAAAAAAACTGAACCATTATTTAATGAATTGACTGCATATTTTTAATCGAGTTAGTTAAGTTTAAAACCAATTTACTTAGCAGAAGATTTTTGTAAGTTTATGATAAATCATAAACTATTGTCCACTGTTAACTTATAACTGCCTTGTGTTTACTTAATTTGACTAGAGCGTAGGAGTATTGCAACAAAATATTTGGGAACTCTAATTACATAATTTTTTACCTAATCTAAAAATATATTTCTATACAACAAGAAATACAAATTAATTCATTTTCAGTATAGTCAATGGCAGAATTTTAGGAGACAAAGCCCCCTCAAGTCTCTCCAGATTGCGGTCAAATCCAAACTGGACTGAATTAATTTCGTTACCCACCTTTGAACAATGAAATGATATTAAATCATATTTTTGTTTGATTTCATATGAAACTAATTGTAATGACAGTTTTAGAGAATGGGATACCGAATATCTTTATAAACGCATCTGTTTAATAACGAATACTATCATCATAAAAACGTACCTCTATATTTTTTAACTAAACTAATTGAATTTTATAATATTAATGTGCTTACAATGTTATAATAAGCACTAATAAGGAGAGGTAAAAAAGATTTTACGTCTGTAAATTGGAATCGCTCTTCTTTCCCCTCCAAAAAAAAAATTTAAGGGCTCACACCAGTTATGTTACCTTTATGTACCTATTTTATCAAAAGTCGGATACATTTCGGGGATCTTTATTGTAATAATTATTCGTTAATAGACAGTAATCAATTATAACGCTATTTTATTATATTAATTAATATATATTAATTAGTGATAAGGGTTATATTTTTCCATCAGATAATATATTGCTACGATATTCATCTACTCCGAAATTTGATAATTTTTTAATTGATTTCGCGAATAATCGATATTCGGAGCTAATTTCATTCGCAGCAATCAATTAATAGTCCTATTCGGAGTATTCGTCGTCGTAGTAACATCCAAATTTTTGTAATCAGGTATTCGTAGTAATTGTTGTCGGAGTAAATGTATTCGGAGGATTTTTTTACAGTGTCGGAGTAAATGAATGTCGGGGCATCATCAGTTCGTGGCAATCTCCGGAACCCGTTTATTTCTATCTATAGGCATTAATGAACCGCACTACTCCTCCCGCTTAGTTATATAAATATTATATCTTTTAAAATACTTGTCCAAAAGTTGTTATCGACACTCATTTTATTAGCTAGATCATTTTCTAGTGTAATTGTAAGGAATACATGTTTCTATTTAAATAACTAAAGCTAATAATATTTTAAGCAGGATAGAACCTAATTGTTTTCTGGAAATTATATTATTTAAGATACTATTAATTTCTGAAAAAAAAAAATTATACTATGTTTTTTATTTTAAAGAAGTTGCGTGGTTGATATGCATAGTTAAACAATCACTATATACAATACTTAAATCAAACTAACGTCCATATTTTAAAAGCGAATGCATCATCAAATCGTTTTAAGTTAAATGACCATTAATAGAAGCACATCTTAATATAATTCAGAAAATATTTAAATAAAATTTGATTATTATCATAAAATATTAAATAAATTTAGTATAAAATACATCAGTGTTGTAAACACAACAGCACTGTTTTTTTTTTAATGAAAGTTTACTCTATGTTTCCATGCATTTGCAAGTATTTCTAAATAAAATTTATTAAACATTAATATCTCATATTTTTTTTTCATAATAAGCGTGTATTTAAAATTTTAATTTTTCATGTAATTTCTATGAAATCTACCAAATTTGAAAAGTTTTTTCGAGTAAGCATTACTATTAAATTATTTTAATATGTGCAACTAGTAATATTTAATTTTAAACATTTGGATATTCATTCATTGAGTATCATCTTAAAATCTTTATTATATATATTAGGGTGGCTCTTATTTTATAACAATTCATTGTTCGATCTCCGTACCCATGGGTGAAAATATTTTAACTAATTAACTAACGAATTAATTTATTTTAACATTTTATTTTTAATTTAATACATGGATCAAAACTGAATTTTTATTGATGATTCCTTTAATAATTCGTAACCTAACCAAACTCATTAATTTTTTCAAACTAAGTAATTTCATTAGTTTATTAATATTTTAGCTTTAATGGGAAGCTGAAAAGATATTAATTTTACTATGATGTGTTTTTTTTTATTTTTACTTTTTTGTGTCTGTAAACGCTTAATCTCAGCTCTCGCTTGAGCGATTTTGTTTAACAATACGACAAATCGTATTCAGTCGAAGACATTACCCTTAAAAGTTGAAAAAATTTCTCTCGTTTCCCGTAAATGGGCGAAACCTCCAAAAAAATTACAAATTTAAAAATCGCTAATTTTCGATATTTTAGCTTAGATGCGAAGCTGAGAAGGTATTA